GGTACTCCACTGCTCCACCGTTCCGCTGTCACAGTTGAGCCTTACCAGTACTCAGGCTGTAGCACAGAGCAGAGTAGTTTGGCATAAAAAGTAAATAAAATTAGATAACTTGAATTCATAAATTGATGAATTTATTAATTCATTTATAATTGGTAAACAATATTAAATATAAAACCGTAACAACATAAATTAACACAAATGTAAACAGTAGGTATTATACAAATTGAAAAAAATAAATTGAAGTAAGAACAATTACTAAAAGCTAATAACATATGCACAGTTAGAAAATACACATATAACACAATTTAGTGTTTTGAATTACAAAAATATAATTTTTATATAAAAATACATTGAATTTTAAGGGTATATATTATTAAATCTAATTAAAATAGATAATATTTATGATAGTATTTCCTGAATATGAACAGAAATAGCCCAAGACAGGCAGAGATTGAGCATACTTGTTAAGGTGGCAAAAGATCTACATGGTCTGTAATAGAACAGAAAAAAAAAAAAAAAAAAAAAAAAAAAAAAAATATATATATATATATATATATATATATATATATATATATATATATATGTATATATGTGTGTGTGTGTGTGTATGTTAAACTTAGCTATAAAGAATTGTTTTAATTATTACAAAATTCTTAAGAACGTTGTATTAGGAAAATATTTTCTCTGCATGAATTTGTTATATTTTTATTTAATATATTCCATCCTTTTGTCAAATATGAAGCATATTTCGTTTAAAAAACTGTGTAAATATCTTCATAGTACCTAACATAACTATAAATTCATTAGAACTATTATATATTAACTATTAAGCCCAAGCGCCAGTATGCATACCGCTGGGTATCTAGTCCAGGTATCAGATAAAAATATCAAATAAAAGTATCCGATGCGGGTATCAAATAAAAATATCCGATACAATTATCAGATAAAAATATCTGATACATATATCAGATAAAAGTATCCGATGCTTGTATCAGATAAAAATATCCGAAACTAGTATCAGATAAAAATATCCCATAGCAGTATCAGATAAAAATATCCGAAATTAACATTACATAAAAAAAAAATAATAATAAGCGTGAATATATTTATCTACAAATAAATATTAAAATTAAACTAAATGAATAGATAGTTCTAAAGAAATTGTACACAACTAAAATTATAACTAAACATTTCTCTTATATCAATGTGCCATGTCTGGACAACCATGTGAGCATCTGTATCAGATACTTTTGGGTTGTATCTACTGGTTGTATCAGATATTTTTTTAGTATCAGATAAAAGTATCTGATACATACAATCGGACCCATCCCTAGGCTTAATCGATTTATTTTCTCAATTATTATTTTTAATGGCTGATTTATGGCTCAGCATTATTTTTTTAATATTTACCAAGGGGAACAGACAATATCACAATTTGTAGCTGCACTTCGACGTGATTTAGCAGAATGCAAGTTCACAGTGCTCTTGTGAACGTCAAGTATCGGTCACAGATATATTTTTGCGAGCCCAGTTAATAGAAGGGCACCGTGATGGTTGGATTCGGGAGTTATTGTTGCAGACCACTGTTACTACCTTCGAGGAAATACTTACAAAAGCCTTGGCTTTAGAGGCCTCACGAACAGAAAGCAAGGTATTATAGCGTTCAGAATCCAAAAATACTTGGAGCTTTTGTGAAGATGCGTACACATTTCGAATTCTTTCCAGGGTACAGGTTCACGTCTGGTATGGGGGCTCCAAGTGAGTCGTTTGTCCAGGTGGAGTCCTAGGTATCGGATTAGTTCTACATGGATAAGTGGGCTATTGTTGAAGGATACTGTACGACAGGAACTCATAGAATTACGACGAAGAGTAAAGGTGATTTGATGGGATTTATTGGAATTTATTTTAATCCTCCATTTTTGACACCATTCTTCAAGGTTTGTGATGTGGGATTGAAGAGTTTGGGATGCAATTGTTGGGTCATTATTAACTGATAGGGCGCATGTATCATCGGCATACGTGGTAATGACAGTGTTAGGATGGGTTGGGATGTCAGCTGTATAAACTGTGTTAAGGATAGGACCTAGGATACTACCTTGAGGAACACCGGCAAACTGATTAAAAATAAATGAATAAGCATTGTTATGATTTACTTTGAAATATCTGTCAGTAAGGTAGGAACGGATAATGAGGAATTATGTAGGTGGTAGGAATTTACGGAGTTTGTACATCAGTCCCGGATGCCAGACTCTATCAAACGCCTGTTCAACGTCGAGAAAGACTCCCGTGCAATACGTTCCGCGCTTCAGTGCAGAGGAGACTACATCTACCAGACGATGGCATTGCTGAATAGTGGAATGGGATGTGCGGAATCCAAATTGGTGATCTAGGATAATATGTTTAGAGTCTAGGATGGTATACAAGCGTTTTAAGATGAGTTTTTCCAGGAGTTTGCTCATAATGGGTAAAAGAGAGATAGGACGGTAAGAGGATGGGTGTTCTGGCGGCTTTATGGGTTTAGGTATCATTTTGACAATGGATAGTTTCCAAGAGTCAGGAAAAGATGTGGTTTGGAGTACAGCATTATATATGTAGGTGAGGAATAGTATGGCTTTTTAGGAAGCAGTTTTAGGATCTGGGATGTGATTAGGTCATGGCCAGGAGCTTTGCCGGAAGGTAATCTATGAATGATATTCGATATTTCTGAAGGATGTAATGCTTTAGGTAAAGGATTCAATTGGAGTGGGATATCCAATTCTGCTTCAATAAACTCAAGGTGGGTTGGATTAAGGATATCGGGGTGTTGATTAAATGTTTTGAAGAGGTACTGAGCAAATATTTGAGATTTTTCTTCGTCAAATCTGGACCAGGTTTGGGTTTCAGTAATAAGTGGGTCGTTAAAATCTTTGAATTTAAGGAGCTTTTTAGTGGGAGGATTTTTTTTATCTTATAAAAAAAAATGTGTCAATGTCATGTTTCTTCTTAAGTGGAATATTTAAAAATATGAAATTCAGTAAATCAGACAACATGAGGTTACTACATCATTTATTGCGTGATGTATTTCACTTGAATAGCTCATTTCACACCTGAAGTGTAATCAACTAAAAGCTTGTTTTCATCATCACAATCCATGGTCTACCATTATTACATTAGTGGTAGGTCTCAATGCGGCCCGCGGGACTTATTGGAGGTCTTAATGTGGCCCGTGGGCCAAAAAGTTTGGAGACCTCTGCTCCATGCTACTATTTTTGTATCTTGTTTTTAATGTTTTCCATCTGCTATCGGTAACAAAAGAAATAATTACCAAATTTTGGCTAAGCGTTTTTAGTTAATTCAGATAATTGTATTTCCCCCCTTATATCCCCCCAGATATTTGTATTTTGTAACACACACACGCACGCACGCACGCACGCACGCACTCACACACACACACACACACACACACACACACACACACACACACACGCACACACACACACGCACACTTTGCGGGACTTGGTTATTTGGACTCAGGAGACCTCAAAACTTGTATTTCTGTTGAAAACTGAGATTTGAAAATTTTCACGATCACAATACTTTCCTTATACTTTCGCAATACTATGTATTTCATATATAGGTAAGTGAAAGTAAAAAAATCTATTGTTTCCAATGAGTCCGACTAGGGAAAGTTTTGCTAATCATTTTATATCGATGCTCATATAAAAAAAGTAATTAACAGTAAAAAATCTGGTGCACACATCACAAGACTTTCACTTACCAACCTCTTCTTAGTAGAAATAAGTATTTTCAGACAATGGGAAAGTGAAAGTAAAAATTATAGGCGCTATATTTATTTACATTTCATTGTAGGTATTTTTATTTCTTTAAATACACTTATATAGACAAATTTTAATGTCTATATCACTGTATTCCATACAATTAAATATTAAATAATACCAATGATAGAATTTATGAAAACTACACATGTATGTGTACATAATATTGTTGGAGTCCGTATTATATTCAACTCATGTTAGGTATGTACTCTTTCGGGTGAGCTCGGACACGCTCGTTTCCTTTGGTTCTTCCATTACAACTATTATATTTTATATTTAACTATTTTTTGTATCAAACATTAATGTGAAATGATTAATTATTTCATGTTAAAAAAATTAAAGGTACTTTAGAGGAAGCTAATATCGAAATTTAGGCATTTAAGTCCTGTAAGAAAACATCAATGAGAATAAATCCTACATTATATTAAAAACTGCTTAATAATACACTAATATACTGAGTTTAATCAAATCATTTTGAGAAATGCATAAAAATGTGCTAAATCGATTACATTAAGTACCACTGCGGTTTGCTGATGTTGATTAAAATGTTGCTGCAACATCTAAAGATTATAATAACCTCAAATACGCAATTTCAGTTTCATACGGCTTTTCGTTTTTGAGGAAGGCTGTTCACATACATACACATACACACTCAGACACACACACACACACACACACACACACACACACACACACACACCATTTCGCGGGACTTGGTAACTTTGACTCAGAGGACTTCAAAATATTTATTTCCGTTGAAAACTCAGATTCGAAAATTTTCACGATCGCAATACTTACCCTTACTATATATTACATATATAGTTAAATGAAAGTAAAAAAATTATTATTTTAGCCAACAAACGTAATTAGATAACGAAGAGTACATTTGAAGCACGATTTGTATAGGAATAGATAACGTAGAGATTAAAAAAAGTTGCTACTACGTTGTTTTAAAAGTATTAAATAAATCAGATAAAATAAACATAAAACTTAAAAACTAATTACGCATAGAACCTCGTGCAAAGTTAACCGAAGCATTAACTGTAGTAAGAATCATTAAGTGGTGAAAAATGTTAAATAGAGAACATAGTCTCAGTGGTAGGGAGAAAGAGTGACTCACCAAGTATGACATCATCGCGGGCCGGGCTTCCCCCCTGCTTAGTCATCAGTAGTGTTCTGACTTCAGTAAGGTGTAAGGTAGTTACGTGAAGTGTCAATGATGTTCAAAATATCGGATAACAAGCCAGTTATTGCTTCAAAAGGTGTCTCGTACACCAGCGTTATCGATTCTGTAAGTAAAAAATTACAATTTACTTTTACATTATTTCAGTTTTCACCATTTTAACCTGTTATAATTCTTTTCTCGTTATTTTGAAGATTTTTTATATTGAACTGAAATTGTTGGTTTGACCTAGAATGATTTTTATGTGTTTATACAAACACATTATCTTCGTTGTTTGTTATCAGGTTTGTTATTTTGTTAACATTCATATCAGTATTCGACTACAGCTCTCGGGTAATTTAAATTCCGAAATGTAGTTTATTGTGAATAAATTTCTATTTGCCGATTACATTATTTATATTTTCCCTATTTCCGTTGGAATGTTGTGAATTTGGAGTGTTTAAATACTATTTCTAAGTAGAATGACGTCATTGTGGATGTCCTTGTAACGTGAACTTCCTCTAGTTTCTGTGATATTACCGTGTTGTTTAATCTTAATACTTTCTAATAATTCACATTTACTACTTAGGGTATTATTGGAATCATACTTCAGATTATAAAGAAGTTCTTAGAAGAAATCAGTGATGAAAGTAAACAATGTTATCTACGTCGTTACTGTTATATTTGCAATTGATTGTCAATAGTTGTTTATAATATATGGAACAAAATTACATTCAGTAAAATCAGTAAATTATCAAATTTCGCTTTTATTCATCCAGTTACTTGATTGTATGTAGCAATGTAAACCACCAATAGGTGGTATAGTTACTGTAGTAATTTGATGTAATATATAGTGATCTATGTCTTTTTTGTAGAAATAATTGAACTTTACTATCATTTATCATTTTTTTAATTTTTGTTAAGTACATTTTCGAAATTGCTTCTGTTCTTCAATTAATACCGATGAAATTTAAGGTTGAACTATTAACTCGAATCCTGCCCTTAACTGTTTAAATGAGTTTTTTTTTATTTTATGATCGCTATAGTGTCCATGCATTTAGTTTTGATGGTTAATTATATTAAAAATCATCGAGCTTATTTTAATGACACTGCCATTAAGCTATCAATTGCTTTGTAATCTATAGTCACTGTAAATATTAAACATGTATGTACAAAATTAATGTAATTATAATTTGATTGCCCAAATCTCCCTCTTAAATAATAAATGATTCGGTTTGTTTTATTTTTAGGAGAGTATTTACTATTAAGTGTTGTCTTGTTAATAACTGTTTTTAGTTCACTTTAAAAGAAAATTGTTGAATAAGTTATCAAATAGTTTTTAATTTACTGCTCTGCACACATTTTATTTTAGCAATATTTTTTCAGTTTTACCTTTTCATTCCTTTGTGGTATTTATTATCTGTGATGCATTATGTTTTGTGACTATATTCTTACTGCAAAATATGTTATTACTGTTTGTTTTTGTAGTTATTTATCGTTAACATTTTCAGCAATATTGGCCCATCAGCTAAGGTCTGATGCATATAATCAATCGTTTTTTACTGTTTTGTATTTTTGTACATTTATATTATTGTACAGATTTTTGTTTCTTTTTTAATCTTATTTTTACTTACTTAGTATGTCATCAAATTTGTACTAAAGGATATTTGTTGGTAATGAAATAAAAATTGTAGAGATAAATTAAAATACTAGTAGAACAGATAACAAAGAAAAGAATCATTGGTACGTTTATAAATTGGTTAATCATATTTATACTCCTATTGTACTGTGCACTTTGGGTATTATAATACCCTTCTGACATTAACTCTTTCTACTTCTTTGCAGAAAATTAAACTGTTGACAATATATATTTTATTTCTATACTTACCATTACTTATTTTAACTATTGCATTATTTATTGCCTCTGGTTTAAATAATTAACTTAATTTATAGTTAGATGGCTTAAACAGTGGTGTACCTACCCGAACTACTGCTACGCTTACCCCTACTACATTAAGGAATATAGAACAAACATTTCAAGAATGCCAAGATGAAACTCACCAGAATCAAGCAAGATTTGTTCCTCCTCTCGTACAACCCTCCTCTCAAGGTAATAAAGTAAATTATTGCATATTTATAATTATTTTTATACCAAATCAATTTAAAATGTTTTTATTCCCGTTATGGATTTATCAATAAGATAAGGAGAGTGAAAAAAATAAGATAATTGTGAGTTTATAAATTTTCTCATGACATTAAAATAATTAGATATTCTGGATATGTTTAATTTTTTTTTTAATTTATTTAAATAATTGAAATATATTCAATTAACATTGTAAATTTGTAGAGCATTAAACCTTCAAACCACTGAAGGTGGCATGATGATAATGGGTGGTTTGTATGATACTCTGGGCTATGTCGTGCCTACACACCCTGAGAAAAAGGTTGCCTTTTGCTAATATTTTTCCTTAAACATAAAATTGTTTCTATTTTATTAATTTGTACTAGTTTACCACTCTTCGATCTGGACTTACATCACTGGTTGGGTTAAAAAGATTTTTTTATAATGTACTTAACTAAAATATGGTGTAGTGCGCACATCTCGCTGCTTTCACTTACCAATATACTTTGAGAAAAAAAAATTTTTCTTGTGTAGGATTATACGATACTAAAAATTATAGGTGCTATAATGTATTCATTAAAAACAATTAATTACCATACAAAATTGTAACCAGGTTCAAGATATTAGAGGAAATAAGATTAAGAGAAATACACGAATGTTAAAATATAATTTCTTGTTACCAGACAAATATAAAAAAATGTTTTAATTGTAGTAGATAAGTCTGGCTGTACACTATTAGTGAATTTGAGTTCATACCCAAATTAATAACACAAATAATATTGATAAACATCATATAGTTCTCAAGCTTAAATGTTACAATTAACAAATTTGTTAGGTTTGCATAGTTTTTAAAAATTGTAAATATAAATTAATATTTCAAAAACAAGGTTATTTTTTAAAATTTTCTATTTTAGTCCTTCAAAAAACCTTTATGAGTGTTGTTGACACTAAAAGTTGGCAAGGTGGAAGGATCACTGAGCAGCACAGTGGTAATATACCAGTTGAAATACTAGGAAATTCAATTATAAGCCAACCAAGAAGAAATGTTGGTGGAAGGCGTCCAGTTAAAGATAAATCTGTAAGTTTATTTGTACCTTATTTATTTATTATTTTTTAAATTAGCTTGGTAAGTTAAGTGCCAACTTAGAGAAAGTTCATTGTTTCCATTTTGCGTTATTTCACAGTAAACTGAAATCATTATAGTATCGCAGTTAATTTCTTAAATATCAGAAGAAAATTATTTTTTATTTAGATATAAAGTTATAAAAATATTTTGCTGTGAAATTATTCAATGTTTTTCCTGAGATAAATTAAATCCTTAACTTTAATAAAAATTTGACTTATCTGTTTAATACTATCTGACTATTTTTCATGGTCTATTAATAATTTTCAGTAAATAATTTAGTGAATAGAGTTTTATAATTTGATATTTATACATTTTTAAGAGTTAAGCCATTCACTTAGTTTCTTCGTATTTGTTTTGAGAAAATTTGTTATTTGTTCTTCGAACATTGTTTTATAACAATGTTATAGTGTTAATTTTATTATATTTTTAGATATCACCGGAAGAAGAAGAAAGGAGAGCAGTAAGAAGAGAAAGGAACAAGTTGGCTGCTGCTCGATGCAGAAAAAGGAGATTAGATCACACCAATGAACTAATGATGGTAATAATAACTGTTTAATATTACGCATAGTTGTTTTATTTATTGAGAATTTAAATACAAAATCTCAATTATTTGCAGTATGTAGTAGGGAAAGATAAAATATTGTTAAATATTACATTTACATTAGAGAAACAATACTTGTATCAAGATTTTTTTTGGGGAGGGAACTACTTAAAATTAAACCATTAGTTCATAAGTATTACACTTTTTTATGCACATTAAGTAAAAAAGATATTTTTTTTGGCCATTTAGTAACATTTAGTATTTATTCTAATTTTTCAGGAAACTGAAGGATTACAAGTTAAAAAGAAAGATTTAGAAAAGGATATTTTTGAACTAGAATTTCAAAAAAAAGAGTTACAATATCTGCTGGATAATCATAAACCCTGTTGCTTTAAAATGAATAAAGACATTAAAAGCAATGATGATTCTAAAGACTTCTTCAATGGCAAAGAAAATGATGTCACTTGTGCTAAAATATCAACATTGAAAAGAAATGTGGGTAAAAGGCCAACCACTCTGTTAGTACCTACATCCTTCCCTCCTGTTTCGATACCTACAGAAGTTGATGGTGTTCCTATTACAACACCAACTGCTGGAATTCCTTTCAATTTTGAATCCATAATGGAAGGTGGAACTGGATTGACTCCTGTGTCTGGTCCTCTCATCCCCTCTTGTGCCACACAACAACGGAATGCAGGGTGTGTTGATTTATCAAGTCCTGATTCTAGTAAATTAGTATCTCTGTGATATTTATTGAAATTTATTTTTATTTAAGAGAGCAACAGTATATTTAAAATACCATATTTAAAACTACTTCTTTGTCGAACATGAAGTCTAAAGATAAATATTTTTTATATAAACCAGTTAAAATTTATTTTACTTTTAAAACTGCCAATTTATTATTTATGCTCATACAAATTGAACCTACATACTTCTATAATTTGAGGTTGTTCAATTTCTATTAGGTATAATAAGAGAATTAAAATTAATTTGCATAGATAAACAATTAATTACAACAAATTTATATTATTAATTTAATTAAATTATGTTTTAAATTTTTCATATGAAGTTGATCCCAATTCATTTCAATGTTTTAAGATTTTAATGTTTTAAAAATTGTCTTCTAAAAAAAGCTCATACAGTGGTCTCTGTTTATAACCAAGGTTAGTACAGTTTTTCTGGTCATATCTTTATTGTCCAGCATATTGTCGATTGTGCTATTTCCTCTTAGTCATTTCGATGATATAATAATATTTGTTAAAACTTAAAAATTGCATACCGTTTGAGATAAGAGCATTTTAAACAACAAAAATTTAAACATAAAATTGTTCATGCTAAGCTGCTCAAAGTCAATACCATGGCGTGTAAATAAATGTATCTGTACACGTTAGGCCAATAATATAGTATGATGACTGTAGAGCGATTAACCCCTAGGTATTATCTCTCCTAGCTTAGTTAGATATTCTGTCAATTTTTTTTTCATGCATTAATTTTAATCAAAGCATTCACAATATTAAGGGTATCACAATATAATACCTTGATCTGATTTAATTTTTAATATACATTACGGTACTTTGCACTAATAACTTGTTAATAATAGTTTCTATATGTACTATAGTTTAGTAACCAGTGTGTTGGAGATAAAAAAGGTTTATTTTAGTAATTTTTTGTTCAGTAATATTTAGAAATTGTTTTCTAAAGCTTAGTATAAAATTTCTAATTTTGTATATGTAGGGTTTAACCAGTACATGCGTTCAGATTTCCTCCCTCTTAATCTTCAATATAAACTGGGATCACTGTATTAATATTTTAAGTGCCAATTAAGAATTTAATTACCATATGTGTAATTATTTTATCTTACATGTATTTAACTATTCATTATTTAAACAAGACGGCCTTAAAATATGAAAACAAAATTAATCATTACTGATAATTCATGATATGGTAAATAATATTCAGAGATTCATTTTAAATAAGTACTTAGTACTATTGTTAAATTTCTTGAAATGGAATTAGGATAACATTAATGCAATAAATTATTCAAATATAGAGTATAGCTATTGATTATTAAAATTTGTTTCCAATTAATGTACCACCATAAACATACTTGTATCTAAAATAGTTATAAGTATATAAATGTGAAATCAAATTTTGTATATAAATATTGTATACTTATGTATTTAATTAGTATTAAAGATTTAAATCATAACAATTATCTCCCTCACTACTTCAGCTTTGTGATCATTCTTTAGTTTTTTAAGGCAATACAAAAGTAAAACTAAATAATGTGCTTTCTAATGATTTAGTTGGTTACCATTAGCCTAAGAAGTGTTATTACTTAATATTGGTTTATTCTATTAGTTACATTTCTACTTTATTGTTATAGTGCTGCTTATTTGTGGATTTTTTTTTTTTTTTTTTTTTTTTTTTTTTTTTTTTTTTTGTGTTAGTATTTTGACAATACATGTAAGCACACATTTATATTAATGTTTGTTTTTACACAGTGAAATTCCACTTTATCGGACAGTTCTGTAAAATGTTGGTTAAAGAAATGTATTTTTAACACATGCAATATAAATGTTATTAATGAATTATTAGTAATTATACTTATTAAGTGACAATACTTAATGAATTTAATATTAAACTAGGTTTCTCTTTACATAATTCTGTGGGACAGTGTCATAGCCTTTGTTTTATCCTTTAGAAAAAGCTATAAAAAAAAATGGATATTTGCCCTAGTTTTAGTGGAAATTGTAGAATTATAAAGTGTAGTGTATCACATCCCAGGGCAGTTATCATTATTAATTTTTTTTATGAATAAAATAATTTATTAATTAAATAATAGAATTGTATTTTTAGGAAGTTAGTTGAGTGAGAAACTAAAAGTAAAATTAACAATAAAAATTTAGTTGTGTTTTATTATCTACAGTAAACTATTTCTTCACCATTGTACAATTTTATATGTTAATGTTAAAATGTGATAATAAATGCTAAACTAATTTTCCAGAAGGGCAACATCAATTAAATAATTAAATATGCATTGTAGAAAAGATAGATGTATTAGTTTCTGCTGTGTAGGAAATAAAAGCAAAATTTGTTTTCATCAGCTCTTTATTAAATTATTGGTTTTAGGATATTTTCATTAAAAAGAGTGTCCGTTAAAAAGAGTTTCTCTGTGTAATTATGAAATTCTTATATTATTTATATCATATTTTGTACTGTCATTGTGATGTTAATAGTATTTGCTTTTTGATGTTATGTGTATTTTACGATTGAATGATCATAAGAATTATCTTATATGTTTTGTATTAGTAATTGTATACTCTTATTTCTTATATGGATTCTTAAATCCAATTTTAGATGACCTTGCAATTAAGCTTTTATTTTAATGTTGTTTTTTTATTTCAGTACACATGATCTATTTTTATTTATAATATAGGTATTTAAAATACAGAGAACTTAAAGATACCAGTTGCCCTAATGTTTTGTTTATTTTAATATTTGAACTTACTGAAGATACTTACTAATAATAAAGATTCTGTTTGTTTTACAAATTAAAAATAATATATTAGCCTTTTTACATTGATCATAATTTGGAAAATGAAAATTTAATTTGATGAGACTTTATTTTTGAAACCCAGTATTATAATTTGAATAATATTAAATATACAGAAATAACATGGCAGAAATTATTTTATTGGTTTAAATAGTATATAATGTAAAAGTTAGTGATTGTTAACTACTGTGTTGTTGAAGTATCAAACATAAATTACTGGACTTGTCTATTTGTTACCAGCCTGATTTAATCAACATATTCTGTTAATGACTGTTAATTAATTTAATATAAATAGTTAAGAATGAGTATCAACGATTTTTGAATGACTTCTCAAATTCTGAAGTAGTGAGTTTTTATTATTTCAATGAAGATAAGTGTTACTTAATATTAAAAAAGAACTGGCTTAGAGTTTGCTAAGTTATGGTTGTAAGATAAAAGACGAACATAAAATGTCATGATAGCTATTAATAATAATTAGAATCTAAGTGGACAGTCAATGTTAATGTTCTATTTTGTCAATAATAAAAGTTATATTGAGTATTTAAAGTATGTATAAATTTTATATTAGGTCTAGTCATTTAGGCAAGACCCTGCCTCACACTTTTATTTTAAGGTTTGTGATAAAACGAAATCTGATTGTGCTATATACATTCTATATTTTTTTTATATTCGTAGTTGTATATCTTGTTTAAGGAAAATTAGGTATTTTTATAACTAAATTTCTATAAGATAGCAGGTGCAATACTTAACCTTGTTTTTCCTCACTTGAAATTAATTCAATTTTTCATTTATTGATTGATGTGACCGAAACACAAGAGATGATTAAAGAAATATAGTTTTAGTGTGGTAGATATTTAATACATTTCCTTCCATAATTAAAATTTGTCTGTTTACTAAATGATTTAATCATAAAAAAATAAAATATTTATCTTAGTATTCTTTTTTTTTTTGTGTATTTGCAACTATGTTATATTATTTTTCTATCATCTCATTGTGTAATTAATTGTATTTTTTAAAAACTATACTGGTGGAGAGATAGCTTTTGAGGATAAACATTGTTTCTTTCTATTCTGTATTGATTAATTGCCCCTAGAATTAGTTGAAAGAGCTTATCCATAAGATATACACATATTTTGCACTATACAGGCTGTTTTAGGTATAGATAACTAAATTACTTAATGTATATATATATATATATAAGATTTCTGCAGTAAAATGTGCCTAATTATCAACTACAATTAATATTGATGTTTCTGTAATTATATATATATATATGTGTATATATATATATATATATATATATATATATATATATATATATATATATATATATATATATATATTGTTTTAAATAGAAAGAATGTGAAGGAACTGTGTAATTTTATTTTTTTAATGATAAATGTAATTTATACACTTGAAACTAAATTTAAACCAAATGTTATAAATGATTGATATTTTTAAATAAAACTTTGGTAGTAATCAGATCCGAAAATGGAGCACTGTACTGGTGTAACCTTAAAAATGTAAAACAATTTCAGTATATTAGTCCTCCCTCCCTCCCCTAAATTAATGTTCAAATCAGTCTGATTTCATTATTACTAGACAATTTAAAGTAATTTCTGGTATTAAACTAAGTATCTTCACAAGTTTGATATCAGGTATTAAATGGGTATATTTCATTTCCTTTATTATATATTAGCTCAATTTTTTTTCTATGTGGTTTTAGTCTGTGTTGTGTGAATTATTGTGGCATTAGTTTCTGTTTTTGTTAACTTACATTAATAATTAAGTTAAGAGATGCAAGGTTTACATTTAATCGATAGGTAGCTTGGTTGATTTGAAATTGAGATCAATTTTCTCCTGATCAACTAAGTTTTGAAACCAGAGATGAAAAGTTTTCAAATATTCTTCATCATTGCACATCATTTATTTTATAGTTAACTCAAATATACTGTTACATTCTGAAACACCTAAGAGAATTTCTGGACAAAATAATAAAATATTATGTACTTAAGGTTGCTATGCATGATTTACTAGTCTATGTTTTATAAAATTTCTTAGTTATACTTCTATGTACCAACAAATTTGTAATTGGAAAAAAAAAGTTCTACGAGAATTAAGCCCTGAGATGGTGATCTTAAACTCTGAATTCCTGTTTCATTGAGATATTCAAGCCTCTTCTTATGTAACTGTAAAATAATCCAGTCAATGAATGATTATAGAGGGAAATGGAAGGAATACAATTTTTGACTTTTACACTTTATTCTGACTAGTTAAGATGTAAATCTACTAACAATCACCACTCATAGAAGGTAAGCCATCCAGATATGATATGAAAGGCA